CCGCATGGTGCCGGTCCCGGTCCCGGTCCCGGTCCCGAGCCCTCTTACCCGGCGGTAGCCCCACTGGCCACGGGACGCAGGCTGTGTTTCCCGTCCTCCTCGTGCCCGGGACCCCGGAGGCTGCTCCGGGTGGGGGAGCCCAGAGAAGCTCGCGCCCTTCCCTCGCCCCCGCTCCCTCCCCTCCCGCTGGTTCGGGTCATTGTCACCGGATGGATCCGCTCCTCGGCCCCGCGCTGTGTGCCGAGCTCCAGCCGGGTCCGCAGGGCGTCTCCTCCTGGCTCAGGCTCCCCTGACCCCAGCAGGTACCAGGGTTCTCGCTGTTTCTTTTTCCAGATCCTCTGGTCGCCATGGCAGCCACCAGGAGTGTGATGAGAGCAGTCCGAGTGTTTGAATTTGGTGGCCCTGAAGTGCTTAAACTCCAGTCGGACGTGTTAGTTCCTGTTCCCAAAGAAAACCAGGTATATGTGAGCTCTGTGAAGGGAAATACTGATGAATGTTAACAAGCGCCTGCAGGACAGAATGAGGGATACAACCCAGAACCTTACACCTAGAGTACGTATGTTTTGATTAGTGTGTTCATACTCCTTGAGTTATCATGCTTAGGAAATGTGGGCTCTTTACTCTGTGGTGGGCTGTATATGATGGGCTTCATATTCCACATCAAGGTTTTCCTGAAATTAGCTTCAGTTTGACACTGGGTTGTCACAGAGGCTGTTTGAGAATTCAGTAAAAATGCTACAATGCTGTGCTATGAATTCAAGGCCTAAATCTTTTTAGTTATTACTTAAGAAGTGTCTTTTCTTTTAGGTGTTAATTAAAGTCCATGCCTGTGGGGTAAATCCTGTTGAGACATACATTCGTTCTGGGACTTACGCCAGGAAACCGGCTTTGCCCTACACTCCTGGCTCGGATGTGGCTGGGGTGATTGAAAGCGTTGGGGAACAAGTGACTGCATTCAAGGTATTTACACACTGGGGTAGAATTTGCTATTGTTTAAGGGGCCCTCTTTGGCTGATTGCTCTGCTACTGTATCTGGTTTTGTTGTTTATAATAATGTAATCTATTCAAGGGGGGAATCCCCTTCACTGATAGAAGCACACAGTGGAATCCCATGGCAAACCAATCTGCTGGTGGGACTGTGAGGAATGCTGTGCCCTCCTGAAGTTCAGAGGTCTCAGAAGAGTAGTGATATCTGGTGTACAAAAGTTGGGCTACAAAAGTTTGGACCTGTTTTTCTGGCATTGCAGAAAAAGTTGAGATTGGATGCTTCTTTCTGGGGGTAGTAATTTCAGGCAAAACTGATTTTTTTTCTGTAAAATATTTGAGAAATTTAAATTGCTTACTTATAAAGCTCCATAAATTATGTTACTTTTTACTAAATGTTCAAATACTGTATTGCTCCTGTTTAGTAATTTTACTTGGATTTCTCAGTGGGAAAATCTTGGGACAGGAGAAGGCAAATACCAATTTGCTAAAAGGTATCTATGATATTAATTTAGTTTTTTAATTGGTTCTCCCATTTAAATCATCAGACATTTGGTCCCAAACATAAAAATTGTAGGTAAAGTTGGGCTGGAATTTCCTGATTTAGAATTTATGTAACAATTTTGGGAGACCTGAGAGATTGGGTTATCAAGAGAGAAGAATCATTTTTGTTCATATTTTCTTATCAGCAGTTTGCTGTATCTGCTATGTGTGACTTTTTGCTTCCTCTGACAATTCTGATGCTCTTGGCTTGAATGAGAGATATATTGAGAAGATACATATTTCCACATTTAAATAATTTAGAAATGTTTTTTTTTGTGTTTGTAAGAGCTTTTGAGGTTATGCATTTGAAATCTGTGGATGGAATTCCTGACTTTAGTCCAAGTTCATTAAGGTTTATATTAATGAGGCAGTAGGTTTGTGTGTTACACTGCAGGCTGAGGTTATAATTATGATACTTAGATTTAAGTATAAGAAATTATATGATTTGTGTTGCATTGATGGTATGTATCAGCATTGATAAACATTTCTTTGGCAAATATGACTGGTTATTTTTGATAGGAGAGCTGTTAACAATAGCCTAAACCTCTGGAAAAAGCAAGAGAAATTATTGATTTCTCTGTGTTCTCTCCCTCCATTCCAGAAAGGTGACAGGGTTTTCACCCTTGAAACACTTTCTGGAGGATATGCAGAGTATGCAGTTGCTGCAGCCAACAGAGTCTTTCCTTTGCCAGACAAACTGGACTTCAAGCAGGGAGCAGCGATTGGAGTGCCCTATTTCACTGCCTACCGGGCCCTTTTCCAGAAGTAAGGCACCAATCCATGTTTGTGCACTTTGATATTTACAATACCAAAGTTCAATTTTCACTGTCCTATAAAATGGGGGGGTTGATGAGTAGAAAATGTTTAAAAACGTTTCACTGACAGATTTGTCAGGTAATTGTGACCTAGAAGCTTGTGACTGTGTTTTATTGTTAAGTCTTTTTTCTTGAGAAAGCCTGCCTGGAAAGGCTTCATGGAATAAAACCTGTGACTCCCTTTCAGTACTCACTGGTATTTTGGCTGGGGAAGGAAAAGAGCAATAATTCTAATTTCCTCAGTAAGCAGACAGGTGTTGGGGAGCAGCACCACTGCTTGCCTGTGACAGGCCAAAATCCTGATCTGAGGCTCCATACCAGGCTCTCACTGGCTGCTGGCTGCATGTTGCTTCAAGTCATCAATCACAGGGTTTATTTGGCCTCCTTGTTCTCCCAAAAAGGCTTATGATATCTGTTTAGCTATAACTTAGAATGTAGTTGGAGCATAAACTGGAAACAATGTTGTGTGAACAATGAGATTTGATGTCAGTATCTGCAACCCCATACTCAGTCAGTATGTGCTGCAGTCACAGAGCCAGTATTTCTTGTGTTCTTCATTTAGAGGCTGTGCCAAAGCAGGGGAAAGTGTGCTGGTTCATGGTGCTAGTGGGGGGGTAAGTATTCCAAGGAGGCAAGTGTAGAGAACACTGCTCTCTCTCCTTGCATCTGCTTCTTCCTGGGATATCAGTTATGGTCATATTTGTATCAATAGATTGGCAGATTAGATTTTTATTTCAGATACTCTAGGATACACATTCTTAGAACAAACCCTGTTATTCCCCATAACTGTAAGACTGCATAAGTACTGGTGTGAGATCCCCAGTCAGAGGGTCACACATGGAACAGGATTTTGCTGCAGGTGGTAGCTGGTCTGGAAGTTATAGCACTGCTAGCAGAAAGCTCTAATTTTCCAATAGGTACAAACAGTTCTCAGTCCTCTTGGAATAAGTGCAGGGCGGTGCAGGGTGACTGTGCATTTCTGGGATGTTTTTACCCATGAGCCAACAGCTGGCTGCCCAAGGAAAGGTACTGGAGTATATAAACCTGTGACTGAATACTACATGAAATTGCATTTCTAGTTTTCTTTGGGTTTTTGTGACAAATGTACTTTACAATGACACAGCATTCTAGTTTGTCTCCCACACCCTGCACTTACTCGGTTTCTGGTGATGCACCAAACAGCTGCTGTGAACAGGCCAAGTTTCCGTAAATATTTGTTAGACAACAAAAAGATCAATTAATATCTTATTGTGAGATACTAGAATGGCAGTTATTTAGCATCATGACTCTTTTTTTAAAATTTTCATAAACTAAATGTACTGCTTCTATTTTTACTGGAGTGCAAAGCTGGTAGGAGATGGTGAGAATTTACTTTCTAAAGAAGTAGTGTTAACAAAATTTGTGCCTGCATTTTCTTTGCAATGTATAATGCTGGTGTTAATAACAGGTGATTCTCTGAAGAGAAGAATTCCTTTGGATTTGTATTAGAAATATATAGCCCAGCTTTGACAGATACTCAGCATTCTACATCGATGTATGTCAAATGCTGATAGCTATTAAAAAACATCAAAAAATATATGGAAATATATTTTCTTTTTTAAAGAGTATTTGTCTGTCTTTAAGATCCAAATTATTGGATCCACATTACCAGACTAGGTTTTTAAATGGAGAAGTTCCAAATTGCTGGTAGAATATTTAAAATATAAAATTCTAAGAAAGAGGTAAAATAATTTTCTCTTTTGGTGTTTTTCTCCCCTCAGGTGGGACTAGCAGCATGTCAGATTGCCAGAGCTTGTGGTTTGAAGGTTTTAGGTACAGCAGGAACTGAGGAGGGCATGAATATGATCCTGAGAAACGGTGCTCACCAAGCCTTTAATCATAGAGACCCGAATTACACTGAGAGAATTAAGGTAATTATTGTCTGGACTCAAGAATGCAGGCCGTGTTGTTCTTAACAAAATGTGAACAGTTGTTTGCAGAAGACTTTAAAGTACATTTATGTAGGAGCAACAGTGTACTGCCTTTTTCATTTCTACACAAGGGAAAACCTTCTCAGGCTGGAAGAGCCAAGCTTTCCTCACAGGCAGTGGCATTTAGAACTTGTTACATTCAGCAAATTCCAGTGTGGGATCACATCATAAATTACCACGGTGAAATGTGCTACATTTCAGCTAATTAGCTGTCAGCTGCACAAAGTACAAAGGCTGTACTGAAAATTTAAACAATAAGGTGTAGAATGGATACTTTCTGTAGTGTTTAAAATAAATGATGGTACTCAAGCACTAAAATAACATCCTGTGTCCTCTGCAGGCGTGCACAGGGCCAGGGGGAATCGATATAATCATAGAAATGCTCTCGAATGTCAACCTGGATGCTGACTTGCAGCTGCTGTCCCGCGCAGGGAGGGTAATGGTGCGTGTTTGTTCCTGGGCCAGGAGGGTGGCAGGGTTTGTGTCCCTGGCAGGGGGGTGATGATGGCTGCTTGTGTCACTGATTTTGTGCATTCAGCATCACACTGAACAGCTCTGACTTGATGCTTTGGACTTCTTTGGGCAGGTTGTGGGCTGCAGAGGACGCATTGAGATAAACCCAAGAGATACAATGAGCAAGGAGTCCAGCATAATTGGAGTGAGTCTGTTTCTTGCAACTGAGGTAAGAAACATTTCTATTTTAAAGTATGCTTTATTGGCTTGTTCCAGCACCTCTCTATTTACAGTTAAAATTATTTGTAGGAATGAAAGAACAATTACACTGTAACAAACTTATTAGTTAATTCCTTTATGTTTTGATTCAATCTCAGAACATCATAAAATATTTTCAAGTTGTGGAATTTGCTTTAATTCTTGCATATATTGTAAATACTACTCTAAAATGCATTGACCTTGTCATAAACACTATGTTTGTTACATGCAGGAGGAAAGGCATGAGTGTGCCACAGCAGTCCTTGATGGCATAGAAGCTGGCTGGCTGAAACCTGTTGTGGGCTTGGAATATCCCCTGGAGAAAGTAGCCAAGGCTCATGAAGACATTATTTGTAGCAGTGGTGCCCGAGGAAAGATGGTGCTCCTTCTATAAAGGAGCACTTTTTTCCATCTATTTTGTAGCTGTTCTAACTGCACCTTTGCTTACATGGTTCACTGAATGTATGTTATAAACATACCTTTGATCATGTTTGACAGTAGCAGAAAATGTTCACTTAGATGAATTAGTTAACATTTTCTTTTTATAATGAGCAGAGTTGCATTTACTAGAAAGTAATTTTGGTAGCTTTTTTCATGGATGTGGGAATATTTAATTTTCTCTGCTGGTGTGCTTTGTGCTGCAGGGGATGGTAGGGTTTGGTATGGTCCATGTGAAGGCAAAGTAAGGCCACTGTAGGCAACATAGAATGAAGCTGCTTTTTACAGATACACAAAATTAAATAGTTTACTATGTGTGTTAATTAGAACTGTAAATTATTTTAGCCACAAAATTTACATTCAAATTTTGTCACATAATTTACTTGAAATAAAAGCTTTTGTTGAGAAAATAATTCACTTTCTAGCTCAAAAGCTGGGCAGAATCTCTCAAACATGAACTGTTTGGAGCAGAGGCAGTTCTACTTGCCTAAGGCTGAAGTGACAGAGTCCTGGCTCATCCACAGGGACCGTCACTCTGGAGCTGCATGCTGGGATTTACCTCTTTGGAACTGATGATCGTGGCCAAAGCAGCTGGTTCCTAGATGGTAAATGGCTGGTTGTGAAGATTTCAGTCCTTCCTGTGACCTTTATTAAAAGTCTCCTGGATCCCTGGCTGCATGGAGAGTGGAGGCTGAATGGCTTTTGTGACACAGAGTTCCTGTGAAATTCCTGAGCTGTGTCCACTGAAGTGGGCAGGGCACAGCCTCAGCACTAGGGCTTTGTGTGCAGGTGTCATGTGGGGTCACTTTGCCATTACACTGGGGTAATTTCATTGTGTCTTGTTCTCATAAGCCTTAAATCCATTGTACAACCGATGATGTTGCCAGGAAAGATGATGGAATGTTTCTAAAGATAATGATTTCAATGTAGTGTTTCAGTGAGTGGTTTCAGAAAGCTGCTTGGGGAGAGAAGGACGAGGCCAGCTCAGCTGTGGGAAGGCAGGGACCATGTCTGCCAAGGTGCAGTGGGGTCCTTCCTCCTTCCAGGCTGTCCCAGGGGAATGAAGCTGGTTTCCTTGTTTGTAACACATCCTACAGGAACAGGGAGCTGTGTTTTTTAGCTGGAGATTTAAGTGATTCACATGGTGTCAGTGATGTGTGTAGGTGGTGTCTCAGCTGATTATCCAGGTGAAAGATGCTGACTGTTCCTGTTGTCTCAAGCAGAATGTGCCCTGAGCAGTGGTGCCCTGTTAGGAACCTGCTATTCCTCTTCACAACGCTGTTGGAGAAAGTAAAACATCTCTTAATATCAAAGTACTAAACAGAGGTTAAAAGTAATGGTTAACGATGGGTATGATTGTGGAGATTATGTGCATATAAAAGTATATACCTTTTCTCTATATTCTGTGTTCAAATATTAAATTAATTTTAATTCAGCCTTAATTTAGTAGGGGTCTATGACATGAGAGGCTGATGGTTTGCAGTGGCTTCTTTCTTGCTTAGTGCTGCCACAGCATCACGCATGATGTTTATAGGGGAAATTCAGTCTCACCGATTCTGTCCTCGCCGTTGGTGTCCCAAGGGCCGTGGTTGTAGTGGAGTTTGTCACCAGAAGGTGTCAGAGCAGCTCTGCATCACCACATTGTCGCTGCTCTCTGCCAGCTGACCCGGCAGAATGGCACAGCAGGACTGGGACTGACTTGTTTGGAATATCATATAACGTTTATTCTTCTGTGAATTTCCAATGTATTGTATAAATGTTTTTTGGTTTTTTTTTTTTAATTTTGGAAGAAGTGAATAGAACTAATGAGGTAGGAGTGAGGTGTGTCTGATTTGTGCAAGCCACCCAAGAGAATGTGTCATCCTGGAGAGTCGGTGGTTCGGCTCTCTTTTTGGGATATGCTGCCCCTTGGCAGTGCAGAAAAGGATGGAGGAAGAGGATGGGGGCCACAGACCAATGAATTTGGCAGGATAATTCTCTGTTTGTTGAGAATCATCTCCTGATTTGACTGGATGGGATTTTGGGAGCAGTGGTTCCCAGTCACAGCCTGCTTGGTGCTGCTCTGGCTGGTTGGAAGGGTTGAAGGGGCTCTTGTATTTGTGCTGACTTTGGCATCTGCATGAGAGATTCGGGGTTCAAAGGGAGGACTTGTGTACAATGCAAGGGTGTGGAAAGTACTGTTCTATGTGTTTCTAAAACAGAAAAGAGTGGATTGTTCTGGAAAGCAGCTGCTCTTGGTTAGTCTCATCATGCTCCAAATAAATGCTGCCACATTTTCTAATCATTAAAAGTGTAATTGCCTCTCTGTTGTCATTGCCCTGTGTCTGTTCCTGACTTCTTCCTGTGCTGCAGGATGATACAGTAAGTTAGTGTGAGACTTAAATTATGGAGTCGGGAAGATAAAATATCAAGAGGATATTGATATCCTTAATAATTGCTCCCTTTACATAAGGCAGATCAATGCTGAGTGTGGGTGGATCATGCCACAGAAAACTTGAGGATGGTGAAATCTAACATTTTGGAACAGATGCATTAGGAGGGAAGGTTGTCCCTTCTCGTCCTCACTGCAGGGATCGCTGCTCAGGTAAGTCACTCCGTGGCCCCTGGAAGTGTTAGCTTGTGAGTTTGTACTTCAGCTGGGGCTCACAAGAACTGCAGGAAGAAGGGAAAAACGAGCATGGAAGGGTGGTTGTATCTCCTTTGTATCAGTAAATCAGGTGTCCGTTTCCAATGCAATGGCAGCCCCGGCAGCTGGAGCCCTGTGCGCACTTCTGGGCCCCGGCTTCTGCGACTCTGGGGCGGCGGGGGGAGCGCCGGCCCCCTCCCGTCCCTCCCTCCCTCCCTCTTGTGTGTCCCTCGCTCCCTCTGT